ATGAGCAACCTCCGGAAGCTGGGCAGCTTTGCTAAACCTGACGTGAAAGTCAATTTTTTAAAGCCAAACCTGAAGGTGAATCTGTGGAAATCAGACAGCAGCCTCGAAACTTTGGAGAATCCGGCGGCAGATCCCAAAGCCCAGAGTGAGTCTGACACGGAAGGGTCGGATAATGACTCGTTCCATTCCGATGACTTCCTGACTAATTCCAAATCGGACGAGGACACCCAGCTGACGGACTCCCTGGAGAACATAGGCCCCACAGACTACGTGCTGCCCAGCTGCGGCATCATCGCCTCGGCCCCGCGCCTGGGCAGCCGCTCGCAGTCCCTCAGCAGCACGGACATGAGCCTCAGCATTCCCGTCCCCTCCGAGGGGCAGGACTCCCAGGCCGGCCGCTCCGACTGCGAGGACATTGCCATGCCTTCTGCCGACAGCGCAGACATGGAGTTTGCCAAGCCCATGGATGTGTACTGCCAGAGGTTTGTGCAGGATGCCCAGAGTAAGGGCTCGGATGTCCTGCAGGCCAAGGCTGGTCCTCAGGAGCCCCATCCCCCAGCGACCCAAACCAGCAGGGACGCGCCCGAGGCGGCGCAGACCAGGGCGGAACCTGTGGGAGATGTTCCTTCCAGGCCCTCCAAGCTGGATGTCCCGTCTTCTGAGCCAAATCCTCAGCTCTTAGCTGTTGGTGGGACTGACTTCAGTAAATCCCATAAAAGCCCCGGCTCTGTGCCTGGGAACCCTGAGACAGGACTCCACACGACTCCCTCTCCCGCCGACGGCGGCGGCAGCAGAGCCGTGTCTCCCTTCGCTAAAATCCGCAGTTCCATGGTCCAGGTTGCAAACATCACCCAGGCAGGATTGACTCAAGGGATTAACTTTGCTGTGGCAAAGGTCCAGAAGAGCCCTGCAGAACCAGAAGCTTTAAATGAAATCAAACAGAGAGAACTGAGGGAAATGTTTACGCAGTGCCAGACGCGGATAATTCAGATCTAGTCGCTAATTCAGGAAGTGTTCTTCTGCTTGTGGCTCTTAATAAAGTACTAAAAAAAAATGATATCAGGACTCACTGTGGCATGAACAGCTACTGGATACTGGGATCCACAAGAGGTGACTTGTTTACAGGCAATGAGAGGTGCAAATGAATTTGGTTCTGACCAAGCTCGAGAATTCCCTCACGAGGTGAGACACAACGGTGAACCCCATATTTAAACAGGTAGCTTAGACACTGGGACCCAATAAGCATGCTGTCTATCTTAGATGTGTTGCACAGTTATTTTTTTGGAGACTAATTTTGTAGCTCTTCTGAATTATGTAGAAAGTATTTATACTACAAAGGTGATACTGCACTTCTCTGACCTTACTTACCTTGCACTACACCAGCAAAATAACCTACCGGTAAATGACATTTTATTTATTTTTGGACTAGAGTTTTTACTTGTTTTCACTGAGGTTTTAGATGCAGCTTTCTCTGAATTGTGCCTCTACAATGGGAACTGATGAGTTTTTGTTGAATTTAAATACTTTAATGAGAAAGTGAGATTTCTTTGCTATCCTTTTCTTTTCACACATCCTGGAACACTTTCATCCTGGAACCCAATCGGAGCTATCCGTGATCCTGCAGTGCAGATTTCTTCTGTAGATTGGTTTTTTTTTTCCTCCCTTGAGGTGAGGGGAAATGAAACAAATGCCCTTGAGCTGTTTTGCCCATGTTAAAGCAATTCTTATTTCCTTTTTTTCTGAATTCCAAACTCTGCCAGTTTGCTCTAGTTTTCTGTGTCTGTGTAAAGCAAGACAAGATCCCCGCCCATCAGGCCTTGTGTCCCTCTGTGCTGTGACTCTTTTGAAGCTATTCTAACTGCCAAGTCCAGACAACAGCTAAAGCAGAAGGCCAGGGTACTGCTTCCTGAGATCAGTGTTGCATCAGAGCATAGTTGTGAGCATCTAATCAAGACCAAATTCATTCCCTGCTCCAGCTTTGCAGGATAAAGCTAAGCATCAACTCAATGCTGGGATAAAACCTCCCCTTCTCTACGTGTGTCAAAATGCATCGAAATGCTCTTTCCCAGAACTGCCTTGCCATGCCATGCTAGTCTAGGACATGCTCCAAGAGCTGCTGTAAGGCAGGACCTTCCTGTGCTGTGGTTTGTGACTGTAACCACCCTGGCAGCCCCAGTGCCTCCGTGTCTCATCCCTGTGCTGTAGATAATCTGCACGTGGTGTCCCCACAGCCTCCTGTCCTGGGGGTGGGGTAGTTCTGTGTCTTAGGACTTGTAGTGTGTCTGAAACGACTTTATCATCTAACCCTGACAGTCTGAAACTTTGATAAACAAATTTGATTTATTTATTTTATTAAAAAGTGATGTGGGTTTGGTTTTTTTTTTTTTTGAGTGTCTATACTTGTGGCAATATTTAAACTTCAACTACTGCTGTATTTTAATGTGAGCAATATACATGAGATATTTTAATAAAAAAAAGTGGAATCAAGGGATGGTTTTGGTATGTGATGTTAAGGGGTGTGGTGCTCCAGGGCTGTGGGGGTTTGTTTCAAAGGTGGGTGGGTTCTCTGGGCTCTCTCTGGGTTAGGAGCCACAGAATGGTTGCAGCTGGGAGTGCTGGGGGTCCTCATCCCTCTGCTCAAGCAGGACCACCTGGAGCTGGTTTGCCATGACTATGTCCAGGTGGGTTGGGGGTAGCACAGGATCAGTTAGAAAAGACCCCCAAGATGAGTCCAACTGTTCCCCCAGCACTGCCAAGCCCATCACTAACCCCTGTCCCCAAGTGCCAAATCCACAGGGCTTTGAACTCCCTGCAGGGATGGGGAACTCTGAGCAGCTGCCCAGTGTTTGACAGCCCTCTTGCTGAAGAAATTTTTTCCTTATATCCAGTCTAAACCCCACGTGGTGCAACCCGGGCCCATTTCCTTGTTCTATTTCCTGTTCCTTGGGAGAAGAGACCAACCCCCACCTCTCCCTACCCTCAGCCTCCACGGATGGAGATTTGACTCCCCCTCTGAGCAACCTCTTCTTCTTCTCAGCCACCCCTGTGGTCCAAGTGTGTCCAGAGTTCAGGGGGACCCTCCTGTGGGTGTTTGTCCCAGCCTGGCTCTGGCCCCTCTTTCCTCCCTTCAGCCACCACAGACCTTGGGATCCCCTGGCAGGGACACAGACATCAGTTCTTTATCCTTTCCTGCTGCTCCAGCTCTGGCCTTGGGAAGAAAAAACCAGTCACAGACACATTTATGAGGGGACTCCTTAGAAAATGCCTCAGCCTTGGTGCTTGTAAAGGTTCTGGTACAGGGAGAGGAAATTGCAAATCCTTAGCTGTTATTTAGGTAGGAGAAACACTGATCCCTACAAATACAGGGGGACTTTTAACACAGTCCTGTAGGGCAAAGCAACTAATAGGGCTAAAGTCACTCTTGTATTCAAAAAATATGGCTTAGCCAACAGTCCAGGGCATAGCTTGGGAAAGAATTCCTGAGCTGCTGTCATTGGTCAGTGATCCAAAAGTATCATGTCATTGAATCACTGAAGGGTTGGAAGGGACCTTAAAGATCACCCAGTTCCACCCCCTGCCATGGGCAGGGACACCTTCCACTAGCCCAGGTTGCTCCAAAGCCTGTCTGACCTGGCCTTGGACACTTCCAGGGATGGGGCAGCCACAGTTTCTCTGGGCAACCTGTGCCAGGGCCTCCCCACCCTCACAGGGGAGAATTCCTAATATCCAACCTAAACCTGCCCTCTGTGAGTTTAAAGCCATTCCTCCCTGTCCTGTCACAATCCCTCTCCAGCAAAATGTCCTTCCAGCTTATGAACTATCCACTACTCACATATAAGTAAGTATACTCACATACTGGAGATGGCAACATGCACAAAACCATCCTCTAACCCAATCTTGCAACTCTGCATTCCAGCCCTGCTGCCTTTTGAAGAGAGATTTCATTTCCTTCCTGTATTTGTTCAGTTGCTTCACTTCACAGTACAAGGCAGATGAAACCATGAATATTCATTTAGTGATTAAAAAAAAAAAAAAGAAAGAAGCTTTAAGTAAGTGTTTTGAAAGGGCTCAAGTTTAGGATACACAAATACTATGTTCCATAATACTCATTGTGCAGAGACAAAACATCCAGATTGGCTGTACAGCAAAACTATCATAATTAGAATGGGAAAAAAGCAGCAAAAAAGGGGCTTCCTGTTCACATGATCTCAGCCATGCAAAAACCCCAAGTAAAGGTGGTCTGAGCTTAATGGAAATTTGGCAGGAGCCTTTTTTCTTGTTGAGAAAAGGATTAATTGCAGCAAAATCTAGAAGTGGCTCCATCATGGGCTCCTGCAGGCTGTCTCCACACAGGCAGCCCTACTTACTCCAATACAACTCCCAGCTCTGTGCTGGTTTAACACTTCACTACTTAAACCACCCTTGTTAAACCAGTTCTGCAAGTCCCATCTGGGGCAGCACGGCCCCTGAACACCAGCTCAAAGTGTACAGGAATAAGGTGTGGAGAGCCCATTCTTAATGCTTCAGTGCTATTATTCAAACCCTTTGAACACACTGCAGTGCTGCTGCTGTAAAAGGAAAGTATGTTTTGTACAAGGATGTGAGTGGCATCAATTCTCCAGTCAACGTGGGTTTTTTTTTTAAGAAGTTGTGCCAGAATAAATCTCATTAGAGATATTTGAGAAGTTAGTCCTGTTCTGCTCTAAGCACAATAAAGATGTATTTCATACCTAACCTGGGCATGGGTGAGATCAAATCACTTCTTTATCCCACAGTGTGATCAGCATTGTGCTGCCTCAGCTCACAGCACAGCACACAGAGCTCTGTGCTGAAGTCAGCATCTCCTTCAGCTGCAGCTGCTGGCCAGCTGGGAGCTCTGAGCCTCAGAATTCCACCTTTCAGGAATTAGAGCACTCATGTATCCCAGAACAAAGCCCAGCACGGCTGTGGAACAAGGGCTCGGGGTTTAAATATTCTCATTATGAAAGGAAATAAGTTTATGCGACTTCAGTATTAAAGTTTAATATCAAACAATTTGCTCGTTGTTACCAATTTTCAATTACAAAACAGGGTTCCAAAAAAATTCCATAAAATATGTTTAAGTGGCCGAACAGAGTTAAGCGTGTTCAGGCTGCGAGGGTAAATATCCATAACTTTTTGGTATAAATTATCTACAAAAACTGGTATAAACAATATTCCAATCTTAGTAGGGGTTCCATCTAGGGATTAGACAAATTTTCAGGGTGTTAAAGTTCGTTGCCATTGACACATTTCTGCTGCTGCAGCCTGGCTTTGCGTTGTGCCTCCAGTTGTTTTGCTCTCAGCCACCTCTCCCTCGACAGCGTCGTCTGCCCCGCGCTGAGCGACAGGAACCTGGGGGAGCACAGACACAGGAGGGGCTTGGGCAGTGCCAGGGGGGATAAACCAGCACAGTCCCAAACCCAAACAAGGCAAAGTTAGTCAATAAAGGCAAATTTAATATTAGGGTTTGCTTCTGGGACATTTTGCCATTCGAAATCTCTAAGCTGTAACTTCCGAGAGTTCCAAACCAACACCTGAAGACACTTCTCTAGGATTAAATTTTGTTCCCAACTTTGCTATAAGAAATTAAAAATTAAAATCTTTTTACTCTAAATTCAGTAGATAACATCACACCAAAAAGGAAATAAAATTAACAAGCCTTTTTTATCTGCAACTTTTAATACCTACAATATTATTTTTCATTAGGTGCTGAGGGGTTTTTTAGACATTATGGACAAATATTTTAGAAAACCTATAAGCCAGCACACCAAGTTTTCTCTAAATGGGAGCTTTTCATGTTTTGACTAATTTTTTTGGAAACAGGCAATGTAAAGTTTGTTACTAGTTTTACTTGAGTGAAATTTTGTAACCTTCCTAAAGCAGAGGAACAAAAAATACTGATGATTCAGGAGCAACAGAGTAATTTCAATGAACAATTTATAAGAGCAGTAATTAGGAAAACCACTGCAGGTTTCTCAAGACAGTATTTTTATTTTTCTTGCAGTAACCTAGGAACTAGAAAGCATGGGAAGGAAGCAGGGAGGGAATACTTTGCCTAAGAAAGAATGTGTGCCAAGAGGAACGAAGGGAAAGGAGACTCCATCTTGGAGAGCTGGCCAGCCTGGCACAGCTAAATCCAGCTGCAGGCTGAGCATCCAGCTGCAAACAGCAGCTTTCTGGGCAGGACAGAAACAGGAGGACAAGCAGCAGCACCCACCTTGCCACGAGCAGTGTCTTGTGCAGGTCATCAGCTGTGATGCTCTCGGGGTCGTTCTTGCGCATCTCTACAAAGTCCTCTTCCACTGCCTGTGGACAACAGCGTGGAGTCATGGAGCAAAACAGAACCTCCATGCAGAGATCAGTTTTCAAGGAGTTGAACACCTCAACTACCTTTACAAGACAGCATTTCAACTCATTGCTGCGCAGAGCCTGAGCAAAACCAGGCTACTTCTCATCTTTGAAAAAAACTGGTTTTCAAAATCAATATTCCATGTACTGTTTCTTATTTGTACTATACTTATTTCTGTGAATTCTTTACAAATCCTTAAAGGCACGTTCAGGACATGAAAACGCTCCTGGTTTGGTTGTTAGAAAACTTGAAGGAGAATCACCGACAGGGAGAGCGATGGGAAAGTACAGTAACAGTCTATTAAAGGTGCTTTCTATCCAAATATACAGTTGAAACTGTATTAATGGAGTCTTCCCTACCTTGGTCACTTCGTCAGATATACTGTAGTCCAGCAGCCTCAGCAAACTCAGGTAAATTCGGAATTTGTTGAGCACAGATGGGAGCACTGCTGTCAGGAGGCTGCTCATGTACTCCTCCATGTTTGGGGGGATTATCTGGGGTTGGAGGTGGACTTGGCAATCTGACTGAAAGAGAAAATTACACACCATCTCTTGCCACATCCCATTGTTATCTATTCCAAACCCAATTTACTCTCAAAGCCAACAGAAGTCACTACTTCCCAGAATTAAGGTAAGACAGTTCTTTAAACATTCCACTGTTCAGTGTGCAGTCCTCACTGAAGCAGGAGCCAGCTTCACTCAGAGGCAGGAGAGCAAAGGCTCAGCTGATCGAGCTGGAATGCCAGAGATCAGATGTTGGCAAGCTTAGGCTACTCCAGGGGCAGTGCCAGCTCTGTGGCTCTGCTCCTGTGCCCACCACCTCAGACACTGCTTTGAGAGGGGCCCATATCTGCAGCCTTTGCCCCTCACTGGGACTGTCACTGCCTCGCCAGCCCCGTTCAGCTGAGGAGGGAAGGCCCATCTCCTGGTTCTCCCATGAACAGGTTCGGGAGGAGGCAGGAACCAGTGCCAGTGTCACACGTGCCCTGTCACAAGGCAGGGTTCCTGTCTGCACTTGTCCCTGGCAGGGCTGCTCTGGGCAGGCAGCTGCCACCTGCAGTTCCCACCAAATCCGTACCGGCAGGAGGGATCTGCCCTCCGAGGTGATCAGCACATTAATGTTGCAGGGGAATTCCATCCGGTGGTAATTGAAGTCATAATCCACCTTCTGCCAGGTGATCAGATTGCCCAGCGCTGTCACATTATGGACACCTGGAAAAGTAGGAACAAACTCCCTGAGCACTGGACCTAAACAAATGAAGTCACATCTGATTCGTGTTTCAACCTGTCTTTAATGAGCAGTTACCAGAAGAATTCCTGCAAGCTTCCTGTTTCTTCTGGGTCTGTGGTGTCTTCCAGATAGACACAACCATTTCTTAAGATCAAAACTAAGGATTCCTCATTTCAAGTCTAAATTTTATCTGGCATAGTACGTGTGTTCACAGCTCATGTTTTTATTTGCCCTACAAAGCCAGACAACTATTTACAGAGAAAAACCGAACAAATCTCTCCTCAAAAGTGGACAAAGCACTACCCATTTCATTTCTATAGCAGTCACTTGCCTTACATGAGACTAAGTTATTTAAAAGATAAAAAGATTGACAAATTAACTCGTTGACTCTTGGAATTCTCTCTTTGAAATACCAACATGTACCTGACAAATTGAATTTCTCTTCAGCAGTGTTACTGCATCAAATCACTCATCTACTGTTATGGTTTTGCTTTTAACCAGTTAGTATTAATTTACTATACTGTAAATAAAGGCAAAGTTAGTAAAAAAAGGCAAATTTAATATCATGGTTTACTTCTGGGACATTTTGCCATTCGAAATCTCTAAGCTGTAACTTCCGAGAGTTCCAAACATCTGAAGACACTTCTCTAGGATTAAATTTTGTTCCCAACTTTGCTATAAGAAATTAAAAATGTTTACTTTTTCCTCTAAATTCAGTAGATAACATCACACCAAAAAGGAAATAAAATTAACAAGCCTTTTTTATCTGCAACTTTTAATACCTACAATATTATTTTTCACTAGACGCTGAGGGGTTTTTTTGACATTATGGACAAACATTTTAGAAAACCTATAAACCAGCACAGCAAGTTTTCCCTGAATGGGAGCTTTTCATGTTTTGACTATTTTTTTTGGAAACAGACAATGCAAAATTTGTTACTAGTTTTACTTGACTGAAATTTTGTAACTTTCCTAAAGCAGAGGAACAAAAAAATACTGAAGACTCAAGAGCAACTGAATAATTTTAAATAATAATTTATAAGAGCAGTAACTAAAAAAGAATAGAGGAGGTTTCTCAAGAGAGCATTTTAATTTTAAAATGAAGTCACTTGCAGTGATTTCCTCTTCTTTAACAGAATCACAGAATTTCCTGAGCTGGAGGGGACCCACAAGGATCATTCAAGTCCAACTCCAGGCCCTGCACAGCACAGCCCAGGAGTCACCACAGAGACCTGTACTGTGCTTCTCCAGTTACTGAACTTTTAATAGGTACAACTCATCTTTTATGTAAGTTAAAATTAAATAAATAGTCTAAAGCTCTGCAGAAAGCACACCACACAGGGCTACATCAGCTTATAAGACAGAACCATCACTTTTCCCACACAGTAATAGCAATCTTTTTATTTCCAGTTCTTAGCTGAGTTCTCAGGGGATGGTTTCCATATATACAGGAAAAGTGCAGAGCATAAGGCAACAGCATACGCTTCCCCACTTCAAGCATTACCACAGGAAACTGAAAGGCCATTCTAATTAATCAGAGCTATTTTGGTGATAAAGAATTACCCAAATTTGTGCTAAGTTGACTGAGGAGGCTGCAGGCCAGCAGGGAGCTTGTTCAAAGCAATGAACTAAGGACAGAGTTTTGTAACAGACCATCACCACCGGGACACAATTAGCATCACTCTTAAAACACGTCAACCTTGAACCTCCCAGGTGAGATCTGAAAACCCAGAAAGTGTCTACCTGTTGTGTCGAGCTGCCCTTGCTCCAGCTGAGTCTCATCCACCACCAGGGAGGTGTTGCTGGCCAGCTGCAGCACCCCAGTGACCAGGCGGTTGGCGGCGTAGTCCTTGTGCGGGATGAAGCGCGAGTGGTTCATGTTCTCGATGGTCATCTGCAGCCGGTGGGACTGCGACAACAACACACCAGCACTGAACATCTCCCACAGGAGAACCATGCTGTTCACAACTCCCATCCCCTGCCCTGCACAGCCAGCATGAGCTCAACAACAAATGGTTTATTGCAGCAATACCCTTGTTACGACCCCAAATTGAATTACTATGGAGTTTTCTGCAGAGCGGTGTCCACAAACCATAATATAAATAAATGGAATAAACCATAATGGCACCCTAATTAAATGACCTAAATGTCAAAATATGAATCCAGAAAGATAGAATAAAGCATGCAGCATCTGTCAGTTCAATACCTCCGAGGAGAGGATTTTATTCCATATTCATTCTAGATGATGTGGCACATAGAGACTTGAACATACAGCCAAGCCACACCTGTGCTGTTACCTGCTCCCTAAAAGGGTAGCGGGAGCCTTCATTTAAGCAGCCTGCCTTAGAAATTAAGGAATCAACTAAAGTGCTGTTTTTTGGTTGAAACAAGAACAACATCTGTCCCCAGAAACACTGCAGGCTTACTGCTGGCACCAGCTGCTGGATGATGCGGTAGATGTGCTCGGTGAAGATGCTGTTCCTGGGACATCCGCTCAAGTTGACCGTGAATTTTCCCAGAGGAAGCACATCTCGTCTTGCATAACTGCACCAAAAATACCACAGGTTAGACAAGGCTCTGGTTAACACTGAACACAGGTATCACTCAGCTGGAGTGTTGTGTGGCACCTCTGACAGCCAGGATTTCACAGGGGTAACAGCCATCTCTTGTTCCTGCCCCAGTGCCCAAGGACAGAGCCAGGTTGAAGCTGCTCCTGAAGGCTTTGCAGCACTGCACAAAAGTACATTTCCAGTGCCTGGGATCCTGCCATGTGCCTTCCAGACCTTCTGTTCTCCTTGTACTCTATTGGTACTCAGTAAACACACTTTGTTCTTTTCCTTTCTCGTGCCCAATCTCAATTTCCCTGCTTATCAACTTGTTCATCTCCTTTACCTGCCCTCAGCTTTCCTCTCCCTCTTCTCCTGTGCATCTTCTCCCCATTCTCGACAACTCTCAACCTTTTTGTGATACCAGCTAAGAAAGAAAATACATTCTAGTCTAAGTGTCAGAGCATTCAGTCCCACTAAAAAGAATGAAAGCAGAATCCATTTTAATTTTGAAGACTAAAATGACTAACATTAAATTGGAGCCTGACAACTAAGCAAAACACACTGAAGCTTCACACCTGAGATTTTAACGAGTCATTTCATCCAGTGACAGTTTAAAATCAACATAAAATGAATTTCTATCCCATGCTAAATAGGGGTCACTTGACCTTGCCATTAAACATATGTTAGCATTTAATTAACAAATTCCCAGAATGTATCTATCAGTATGTTGTAATACCTAAACAGTAATTCCTCCAGTAAATGCTGTCTTTGAGAAGTCAGTTCCATGTCCTACTCATTAGAAGAAGCTAGAGGCAAAAAGATGCTTTCATACCTCTGTTAAAAGTGTGTCTTAGAGAGTTTGTCCAACTCTCAAAGGAACACCAAAAGGATACACTGGCCTTTTATCAATATTTACTGTTATTTCACACAATGAAATCTGCCTCTCTGTTTACTGTGACAGGACAACTCTAGCTGGACAAAGTACTGCTGAAAAAACTACTACTTGAGCTGTTTCTGCCATTTATTTGCAGATTGGTGAAGAACCCCATAAACAGAGATGCCTTTTGAACGTTGAATATTTAAATTCTCAAACATCTAAATACTCACACTGTAGAGATGAGATGCAGTATAAGGTATTCAGCAGCCAAACTGTCTCCCAAGAGGGCATGGGTGAGGAACCCCAGCAACTCTGCTCTCACTGGTGACAGCTCAGACATAAAATTAGAAACAACTGCCAAAAAAACACAAGACAACAAATGTCAGAAAATGTGCTGTTTCTCACCCTCTTCCCTCTAAATCTTACTTTCTATTACAATTTGATGAGGAAAAATGTTTATTCCAAAGCAGTCGAGGAAAAAGAAACAAACATTCATTGTTTTTTCCAGCTGAGCAATTACTGGCTTTGGATAACCTGAATCACTCAACATTTCCTTGGAAATGCTTTCTTTTTTTAAAATTAGATCCTGTGTAAAGCATTTGCAGAACGCTACAAAGTTTGGAGCCAAATTTCTAAAACAATAGCCCACCCATTTTATTTTAAAGGTGGGAAAAAAACCCCCTTACATGTGACACAGCTCAGGACAACCAACGCAAGGCACTCAAGGAAGAAAATTATAAATATCAAAGGTTTGCAAGCAATAATTCAATGACAAAATCATAACAGTCAAACAGGCCACAAGGAATAGCACAGTCACTTAAAACAGAGTTGCCTTGTTTTCTGCACAGTATTATGCTCCTTCATATTGCCAGTATGTTTCTTATTTCCACTGTCATACTGATTTGGAAATCTAATTTTCCAGCAGTTCACAACTGCATCTGAAAACTAATCAAATCTTATGGCTGAACAGCTCGGTAAAATCCTTGGGCACATCGAATGCAAACCCAAGTTTCATATAAATCACATTTATTTCAGACAAGTAAAACCATAACCATGACACAAACACAAACACTTGCAACTTGTTCAGTTCTGCAGCGTTGAATGGCTCCTCCACTTAACAAGATTTAAATCCAGAGCCTGTTGTTGAGGCATTTGCCTCTGAGTAAAGCAGTGTCTGTTCACCTGTGCTGGGAAATGTGCCCAGTCCTGTGTGCCCAGAGCTCAGCTACTCACAGGTTTTACTCTCCTCTTCCTTAAGGCAGGCAGGCAGCAGTGGGTTAATGTGTTGCAACTTCTGGGCCAAAATCACATGGATTCTGGGCACTAATGAGGCAGGAGGGCTGTGCACTCTCTGTTCCTCTGCTGTGTCCATACACTCCATAGGATCAAGGGCTGAGCTGTCCCTAGGAAAGGGCACAGCACAACTGGGCTTAGAAACATTCCCCAGGAATTCCTCTCCATCTGACTGAGGGCAGCTGGAACCAGGCCAAGAACGGAGCGGGGCGGAGCAAACAACATCCGCTCCAGCTCCTGGCAACTCCTCCCACAGGCAAAATACCCTCTTCAGGATTTCTATAGACACCATAAATACCAAATCACAATTATATAATGGTCCAGAAATGCCAAAGCAGGCCTGCCCAGAAAAATCTGGATTCTATTATTTTCAGAAAATAATCAAATCGTACTTTTCCGGAAAAAAAACCCCAAACAACAAAAACCAACAAACCAACCCCCCAAAACCAAACAAACCCACATTTAGTATTTACTACATCATTTCATAATCTGTAGCTTCAAGTACAATGTTACACACTGTTCTGTACAGCATGTACAGAATGAAGTCCAAACAGTAACTTTCAGGAAAATAAGGTCGTGATTTATTGCATTTGCCTGTGTAGGAACATGTGGCATTTTCTTATTCCACTGAGTTCTGGAGCTTGACAAGATCTTCTAGACTGTCACATAACAGCTCAATCACTGGCTGAGTAAAAAAATTATGAGTAAATTGATCCTAATGTACCTCAGCTCAAACTTGGAGGTATTACCTCTTAATTTAAAAGTTCAGATACGGGAGCTTTGCTCTCCCTGAAGATGTCTCACAAAATTCCTTCCAGGTGGTTTTCATTTGTCATGTAGAAACTAAAGTCCCTAAAGTGACTACATCAGATGATGCTAAAGCTTAGCACAAATTTCATGAACTTGTACTGGTTCTAAAAGCTGACAGGCTTTACAACCTCAAAGCCACTTCAGCAGTTCACCAACACACTGTTCACCCCTTTCCATTAAACTTCTTTTGTTTGCACTCCAAACATTGCTAAATGCCACCAGTTTGTCTCTTTGTGACAGAATGACATTCAGGGGGGAAAAAAGACAACCAGTGACAGAGCAACTGAGCTGGGAGTCTGGGATTAGCTGTCACAGATGATAACCAAGAGCAGCTGAGTTAATTTGTAAGAAGTTGGCACTACAAAGGATTCACACTGCACTCTGGATATTGTACTGATCAGAAGGATAAACAAAATCACCAATAGAAATAATTCAGAGTGCAGTGGTTCAAGACATCAGTAGTGTTTATGTTAGACTGGACAAGAGTTTTGTTTTAAAAACTGATTTCTTGGATTAGTTTGTATTTTGTCAGAGAAGTAACTGCAGAACAGCAGGTGAAAGGGGAAGTTTCTGTCAGTGGCACAGCATGATGATATACCTTAATTAATGAAAAAATCAGCCCAATTTTTGCTCAGTTTGATCACTACCACTCTCCATGCAGACATGCAAACTTTTTTTTTATACTCTTCTGAAATGTTTATGGTTACAACTTCCATGGACTTAGCAGTTACTTCAAAAGGACATTTTGTACTTTTAAAGCTTATTTGAAAGCTTGTTCACTATTCACTCATTCACTGAAAGTTTAATAGGCATGAAAGAATACAAAACATTTAGCTATAGAAGCACTTTCTGCTTTAAGGACTGTACAACAACCTAAAAAACAGATGTACTGTATATCCAAGGGTAAGGATGGACCAGAGCACACTGGACTTAGTTTATAAGACATTGATCTAACATTTTCCTTATCAAACTTTTTTTAAGCAACAAAATTCACCAGTTGAGCATAACTGTTATGTGTTTACACATTTCCTTGTCTGCTCATTGAAACCAACATTTCCTTCACGTGAGGGCAGCCTTACCTCTCCTCACTGTTTACTAAGCTCAGCACTGGATCCACAGACAAAACACCATAAACCTCCAGCACATCATTGACTTTGAAGCTCTCCCAGCTCTCATAGACCTGTCCCAAAAGGAAACAAAAGACAGAGGCAGATGGGCCAGATGCAGGATGGAAAAACCTCAGGAGACTCGAGTGTGGGCTGAGAACAGCCTGTGTGAACAGGTCTCTCCCAGCCCTTGGTGTAACCAAGCTTACACTGGAAAAGTGAGTTTCTATCACTCCATTTTTTTTATTAGCATTCTTTGCCATATGAATGTAAAAAATAGTATCCTGTTTTATCAAGATCTGCTGAATAAGAGAAGTCAGTACAGAAACAGCATAAAAATCTTGTGTTGAAGTTTCATAGTCAATATAGCACAGTAGCGAATCGAGGACTATTTTAAATCCAATAAACAAACGTGTAGATTATTGTTTCTTTCAGCTTGTTCCATCACAACTTTTTTCCTCTAGAAGAAAAATCCTAAAAGCAGAAATTCCAGCTACACTCTTAAGCATCTAGTACTGGACTTTTTTTTTTTTTTAAACTGTGATGAAAAGGTGCAAACTAAAAAATGCTGCTGAGGGATTTCAGCAGTTCAAATGCAGCACTCAAGAAGAGAAACAATGTAATAGTGAAAAGAGAGAATGCAATGATCTGTAGAAACAAAATTATTGACTGGAGAGACAATTTCTGTGCCCATAAACCTGTCTGCAAGACTAACTACTTACACTCTAACATGGGATTCTGTTTGCCTCACTGAGGGACACAGAACCCTGCTCATCATCCCCTCTCCACTTCTGTTACCTTGACAAGACATGCTGGTCCCTTCTCTCCTGGCAATGGAAAATTTAGGTCAAGTGGAGGGGAGCAGTTGGGAGAAATGAGATGATGACCTGCAGGAGCTTCTGTTTCTAATCTCTTTGGCTCCACACATCCATGGATATCAGCTCCACTGCCTGAAAAACACAGGATTTGCAGGCTCTTTAAACAGCAATGCAAAACTGAACAACTTTCCTCAGGGAGCAACATAGAATTAAACTAATTTAACAAGACATTTGAGACAAAAATGTTTAATAATGCACTATATTTGACATCCAAAAAGTCTCACAAATGCATATTTTATATTGTGAAATTAAGTGTGAGAGTACTGGTAAAGATCTGTGTGTCTTGGAAACCCAAACGTGGCCAGAAATCTGATTTTCAAAATGTAATGTTTATATTGGGTGAGTGATTTTTCTTTAAAGTCCATAAGACTGCAAAGGTAATATATTTCTGCATTTCAAGCTAAAAAACCCAGATAGTTCTTAAAGACATGCATAAAGAATCAGTTTACATTAAAAATCTCTGTAGATTTTCAGCAGTAAAAATTGGTTCTACAATTGATGAGTCCTGGGTACAAAGACAATCCTGTCTATACTATCCTGCAAACTGGTAAGAATACAAAAGGAAAATCCTGAGTCCAGCTAATGAACCCCAAAGACACAGAACACTGAACCAAAGAAAGCAATAACTTCTACATTTTTTTATCTTTAACAGGACCAACAACTTAAACTAACCACTTCCTCTTGTTGAAAAGAAAACTTGCCAAAATCTTCAAGAGCCCCATTCCAGTTTAAGTGGAATCTCCACGGATGAACATCAAAACAAACAGTTCACAGACTGATTACAGCATAAGTAAGAATTGCACACTGCCAGTGTTGAACCTCTGAAAAGGTTCAAATGCTTTCTTCAGGATGCTACAAGTACCTGACATGGATTTTGTTCCCCTAAGAAGCTGGATTAGCAAATCACATTGGGAAAAAGGGAAGGATGGAAGATATTTGTTAGATACACACTCTGTAGCAAAGCAGCACCTAACTCACATGGAGTTAAGCTTCAGTTTACACAGTAAGGTCCACACGTGGTGTGAGAGACAAAATTACATGATTTCCTTCCCATTACTATGAAACCTGTAATGCAGTGGGAAATTAAACACAAACTCCTCAAGTTCAACCTGCTGCTCTAAATTGTTTGTGTGCTGTTCCACACCAGAGGCAGTGCACCAGTGCTGCTGTACAAAGGACTGTTCTCAGGAATGAACTCCACAAAGTCATGCCAACAAGTCGTACAGCCCACGTGTAACACCACAGACTCTTCCACTCTACTTCAGATCAAACCACTGATGACTTCAACAAAGCCACCAAATTAGTTCTGAGGGCTGCACCAACACCAGTGATTCAAAACAGCTGCAAATATTTCAGTTTTTAAAAGAGAAATTTTTACAAATTCTGGAAAGATATCATAACTATTCATCAATAGCAACTGTTACCCATATGCTGCTCCTTCTGTTTGGCTGGATGCAGATCCATGTCCTCATCTTCCTCATAGCTCCTCTTGTGGCGACTCGGGGTGTAGGAAGTCGAAGGGCTAACTCGGGCTTGGCTGGCACTGATATAGGCGTGAAATTGGGGGTTAAGGACAACCACAGACTGAGCAGGGACAACTCAAGCACAGCAAGGTTTGTTTGTTTGCTTTTTTAACAGAATTCTAGTGTTCTATTTTGAGCAAGACGTTAAAATAATGAATCAAACTGTTACCTAGATGTCACCTCTTCAGACACACAAATAACCTGCTGCAGGAGTCTGGAAAGTCAGTGGCTTTGTTGAAAACAGACACTAAAAACCACCAAGTGCTATTCCACCATCAGCCTCTAAAAAAGGGTTTTTTTTCCCAGAGAACATGCTTGTGGTCAGGAACAAATCAAAAATGCAAGAATTTTCTCTCCCACACCTCATTCATCTGCATCCTCTTTGTGCATATAACACACTACCAGTTTTACCTTTCTTCTCTTTCTACACCTGCCACCTCACCTGATTCACCGAAAAAAAAGAATAAAGAAATTTTAAATAAACTTATTTCCTTCAATCTAATTAGTTGGTGATCACTGATTGTATAACAGAGTCAAAAAAGATATTTCTTTCACCCATGCAGATTCCCCAGGCACTGGAACACAGTAGAGAGTCTGTCTCTCTGAGGTGACTGTTTGTGAGGAGTTCAAATCAATCTCCTGCTGAGGCTGGAATACCAAGGGAAATTCTGTTACAAATCTGATTACAGGTTTTTTTTAAAGCAATCCAATACATTCAGTTACTCAGCCAGAAGTTACAACTAACATACTCATGAAACAGTGAATCCCAACAGTCTCTATCTCCAATGTTTTGATTCCAATTGCACAGCACTACCAGAAGGAGCTGTTTCCCACAGCAAACACTTTCAAAGTCACAGGCACTCCCCCCTCGAACCAAGCAAAACAAATTTTAAATAAAACAGGAACAGCTGGAAGCCTCCTGAAATTAGAATGCCAGGGAGCAGTTATGAATACTTTGCTTTCCAAACCTGAGATTAATTCTGCATTTCAAGAGCAGTATCCTCAGGAATCCACGGGCAAGTACCAAGGAAGTCTTATCACACTTATAAATGGCAACTTTCCATCTAATATTTCATCTCAAAATTTGTGTAACTTGTATAACTTACCCCACATTCTGCCACATCTCTGTATTTGCCAAAATGCAAAACCTGTCAAGAAGGAAAAGGCAATGCAGTCATTCTTTTTCTGAAGGAATCCTGAGCAAGAATCACATTAAAATCACTTCAGTCCAAAATCCCACACAGATACACTGCCAAAGCTTTCCTTATTTTAATATTTTCTTTTTCTCCACAGAAATATAACAAGTGATGTATTAGTGATGCTATTTGAGTCAAACACACTTATTACTAAATAGTACCCAAACTCCATAAGTTTAACTTAGGAATTAGAGAAATATGAGAACTAGAGTGGATAAAACGATAAGCATTTATTAAAACAATAAATCAGTATTTCACTTACACGTGCATTTGTGTTTGGGTCAACTGTTTCATACACTCCCATGTAAAACTCAGGATCAAACATGTCTTGAACCATGCAGCGAAATTTCACTAGACTGTTGGGTTTTAGGTAATGTACAGGAACATCATTCAGTGATGGAACCTGTAAAAAAAGAGTTTGTTCTACACAACTGTATATATCAAGCAATGCACTCAACTAAGCCAAAAGCAGGTGGTGTAACTTGAAATATTGAGACTTGCAATATGAGTAGAGTTTTCTAAATCTGAAGATCAACTTGTTGTTGAAAAAACCCACATTCAACATTAAAGTGCAACAAAGACCAGAAGTGTCCCTATAGGAAATGGTATTTTAACAAACATATATCACCTCATGTTTCTCTTGAGTAAGAAAATGTGCTTTCAATTCCTTCTAACGTTGTCAATTTGACTTGATTTTTCCCACTTTGATTAAAACTATGATTGAAAAATGATTAAAAATATGATTGAAATATTAAGTATGGAATCCTCACGAAGAAAAAAAGAAATCAAATAATTTTCATGTTTTCTCAGTCATAAGTAGAACAGATTTGATGTGAAACTTTCTAGTCCCCCTAGCAATGTTCCACGATGTCATTTTTGCTACGGTCTTTTAAAAAAGCATCAGCTTTTGAACTCACCTGTGCACGTTTTATTTTTAAACCTTAAGCACAGCTTCCCTGCTGAACTGCACAAAGCCAGCCCAGCAAAGCACAGTTTTAGCAGAAAAAGCGTTTTGTCCTAAAACCTGAAAGCCCAGGTAGCTACTTCTTCAACCCACACAAAAGCTTTCAGCGTCGCGATAAAAACCTCACGGGAGAAGAGGTTTACAAGCAGCAGTTGAGAAGCTCGTGGGGCACAGAGGGCAGGGACAAACACTGCCCAAAATGACAATATTTGTCAGCTCCCGCCATCTACTGACTGTGCTGCAGAGCGGCAGCGCCCGGCAGGGATGGCCCGGGGCAGGAGCTGTGCCGAAGGCAAGGCTGGAATCCCAGCCGGGATTTCACAGCCCGGCTTTGCACACAGGTTAAAAAAAAAAAAAAAAAAGCAGCCGAGATGTAAATAACATATCCTTAAGCCTGGGCCTGAAATTCGGCCCTGTGCTTATCACGAAAAGGAAGAACTTCTCCAATAAAATGTAAACAACAACGAGACTCGAGGAAAGCGCAAGTCTAAAAGAATCAAACGCTCTTACCCAATTAGTGGCATTATTTTCTTTTAATTTTTCCTTGAAGTATTCGGTTACCTTCTTTTCCCAATCAGAGTTTGGAACATTTTGGGCTACAAAAAAACCACATTTACACGCCCATTAGCACCGGTAACAGACCTCTATCCAGCATTCTCCCAACACAGCAAGCAAAGCAAACTTTTCCTTCTATTCTGGGGAAGCAGGTGCAATTTAGGCTACAAATGACTGCATTTTAGTGTAATTTATGCCTCTTGTAACTCATGACTTCACAATTTACAGGCTTCCAGGCCAACCAAGACGCACACAGCCATTCTCGGGAGCGAGGAAAAGCTCCACGACGCCTCAAGGAGAAAGGGAAGGAGCTGAGGTACCGCTTCCCGCGCGGAAGGTTTTTATTTCCATAACCTTTTAGTTAAGATCGAGCCTAGCACAGAAACAGCCGCGGTGATGGCACTGGTAACATTAGCAGTGATCGGTGTGGACAGCACGCCTTGTTCCCGAAATCCAAAGATACACGAGATACGCAAGATATATGAGATATAGATTATATATATATATATAAGGTACGTGAGATATATATGAGGTTCAGAAGGCACACAAGCAGCCTCGCCGCTCTCCCGCCACCACCCCGCGAGGGAAAGCCCCGTCCGGTTCCGGGCGCCCTCAGGGCGCTCCCGCTCGGGCCGAGGGGACGCCGGTCCCGCCTCACCGAAGAAGCCCTGCACGATGCTGAGGGGGTTGTTGAGCCAGTCGCCCACGCACGGCATGGCGGGGTCGCCCCTCGCCGCGGGGCTGCCGGCTCCTTGCGGCCGCCGCCTCCCGCTCGCCAGCCCCGGACGGGCACGGGCACTGCCGCTTCCTCCTCCTCCTCCTCCCCTTCCTGCGGGAATGGCGGCGGGACCCGCCTTCTCCCCCCTCACGGCTGCGCGCGGCCGCCGCCGCCATCTTGGGTGAGGGCGGAAGGGGCCGGGGCGGGACGTGGCCGGGGCGCGGCCATGGCGGCGGCGAAGGCCGGGGGAGGCACCGCCGGCACCAACACCAACCTGCTCTTCTCCTCCTCCGCCACCGACTTCAGCTTCAACGTGCCCTTCATCCCCGTCAGCCAGGCGCCCGCCGCGCCCGGGCCCGCGCTGCTGCCCGCCGGTACGAAGGGAGGGAGGGAAGGGCGGTGAGGGGTCCCGCCGGTCCCGCAGCCCCCGGGATGGGCTGAGGGGTCGGGGGAGCCCCGGGAGCCGGGCAGGGCTGCCAGGGGGGCTGAGGGCCGGGACAGCTCCTTTCTACCCTGCGGCTCTCCCAGCCCGCTGTCACTCGTGGTGCCTCAGCGCAGACGGGCTGCTTGGGGTCGCATATTCCGCTTTCTTGCGCTTAATTGCTTGGGCTTCCTTGTGTTTGGTGATTGTGTGTTCGGTTTTTAGTGTCGGGGCTGAGGAGAAGGGGTGTTTGTGGCGTTTTCAGCTCGTCGATGTTTCAGAACGTTCATTTCAGCCATTTAAAGGTCTCGGTGCTGAGGGTGTACTGTCTCCGTGCTTCCCTTCAGGGTGTACCGAGTGATTTCACTGTTTTTAAGCTCCTCTCCCATTCTGCCTTCCGCTTTCCCTGTGTGAAAATAGCATGTTAAGCGGGCACCTAAAATATCCTTGCTAATTTAATCCCGGTTCTGTTATCCTTTCCCTCTAAAGCCCTGATGGTGTTCCCAGCACAGCTTAAAATCTGCTCCTCCAGCACCTTCAGACGAAGGAATGGATTTTTCTGGGGATGTGTTCAGTCTGAGATTAAAGCCCTAAACATTAGAAATGCATCTATAAATCAGATATTTCGAATTTTACTGCATTGTACATGTTGCAGTTGGGCTAATGACCTTTAAAGGTCCCTTTTAACCCAAACTGTTGCATGTCGAGTCCAAAACCCAGGACTTCATTTCAACACTGTTTTATCTTAGCTAAAATAAGTACTAATATGGCTGGAAATCAGTGCAATCCATCTCTGTAGATTTAATAAAATATTAGCCAAGTATGGCTTTGAAACATTTTTTTAGATCAGCTACGTTTTTTGTGTGGGAGGGATAAAAGCATTAGAATATTATCCCTACTCACGTGAAATATCTAACTGGGTGATGTAGCCAGTGTATTTACTGTAGGTGGAGAGGAGTGTTCCCAGTGAGGAAGTGGATTAATGTCACTTGTGGTTGTCTGGTGACAGTCTGTGAATGAGGAGGGAGAGAGGTACAGGAGGTTGACACAGTCACAGCTGAAGAAAGACTCTTTTGTACGTGGGAAGGACATTGCCCTTGCATGTCAAAGCTGTACATTCATTTTTTTAAATTTACAGGATGTGCTTGTTTTACTGCCAGGCTGGGCTCATGTTCCAATGTAGTGTTTGCAAAATTAGAAACAGGAAAGATAGAAAGTAATGTATTGTAAACCAGCACATATATATATACACACACACATATAATTTTTGTTTTGGCAGAACTTTTGTCAGTCTCATTTTGCAGGGAAAGCTGCAGTTAAACTAAACCTCCAAAACCTAGTTGAAATTGGAAAATAGTAGGTGTTTTGTGAATGGGCATTTGGTAAAGGCCCTGGGAACTCTTCAGCACACTGCTACGTATTTATGGTGACCTGACATAGTGAGGTGAATTGCCACTTATTTGGGAAAGCTGAGTGGAGATTGTGCTGTGCAGTAGCTTCTCTCTGTTCCGTTAGGTTTATGAAATATGGAAGTGAGGTGGATTTTGTTGTTTAGAAATTGAGACCTTTTATTTAGCATAAATGGCCATTCTGCTTGTAGCTGGGAGATAATCCCCAGGCCTGACTTCAGAGTGGTCACTGCTTGTAAATGCTTCCAGCATTCTCCACGTGATGACCTACACACACAGGTTTTGGGTTGCTCCTCAAAGTGGGGTGAGTGCTGTGGGTGAAAGCAAGAGAAGTTGGTAAGGTGCAAGGTAAGTAATTGGTAAGGCAGGTGATGCCTCAAATTGGCACTGTCTGCAAAGACTACTAAATAAAAGATGGTTAAAATAGTTCTTTTTAATCTTGGCAGCTGCTTCTTTTATGATTAATTAATTAGAACAGCAGCCTCCTAGGGAGACTCCTCCGTGGATTCCCCTGTACTCCCTTGATAGTCTCTGGTACAGTTTTGTTGGCTGTGGATAAAGACATTTGTTGTTGACTGGTCTGGGGACTGAGTATCAGAGAAGCAGCAATACCTTTGGGGTGTCTCCCCCACAGCCTGGGGATCATTTGATTGCCAGAGCAGATGAAACACAGTTCTAACCTCTGCAGATTGCACTGACTCCTTGCAAGGTGCTGTTCCCTCAGCAGGCAGGCAGTGCTGCTCAGGCCATCACAGGTTTAGCTGAGCTTGCTGTGAGACCTCTAATAATGTCAACCCTTTATTTTTTCCACTTGTTGCTAAATCACTGTCAAGCAGAAAAGTGTGATTGACCAGAATTTGCTTTGTTTTCTCAATGGCCTTGTACCTTTTTTAACCCTCTCCTGCAATTATGCAGAATGGGGACTGATTTTTCTGCACCAGCAATTTAGCTTTTATGCCAGGCTAGAGTAGGATTTTTAGGGAGAACTGGAGTAAATCCTGCTTGTCAAGTGACTTGGGATCATGAGTTATGGCCACCTTGCAAGTCAGATGAGAAACCTTGTGAGGGCTGTGCTAAAGGAGCAGGCAAGAATGGATTGTTTAATCAGTAGGTTTGGCCTATTTAGGAATGTTTTTAAAGTCTAATTTTTTATTTGATCTTGGAAGTCTGAAAAGTAGAGCATAAAGCCCTGTGCTTAATGATTGGTTCCATGGGGAAAGGGTATGAACCAAGGCTGCCCTTGCATTTGTGAGACCTAAGTGAAGTTGGGAGGGATTTTAGTACCTACCAAGTTGCCTTGGGAAGGTCCTGACTCCAGTTATACTTTAGTCTCTTATTTAATGTTTTTAATATTTGTTGCTTATTCTGTGTACCCTGAGTGACTTATGATCCATTTTAAATGTTCTTGAAGACTCTGTATCTTTTGTTTCATTTTATGGCGTGCTTAATCACCAAAGTTGTGCAGGCTTTGTAGTACTTCTGGCTTTCTGGAGACCAACAGTTTTGGCAATAGCTGATAATGTTACAGAACATTTTGACTACACACAGCAGGTGATTTGAATGTCTCACAGTATCTCTGGTGGTCCTTTTGTCTTTGCAGATGATTCTGCAGACGTTGGGGAAGAGGACAGCTTCTTGGGTCAGACTTCTGCCAGCCCCAACCCACCACAGACTTTCAACTATTTCTCTCAAGTGCCCAGTAGCAGTGATCCCTTTGGAAGTATTGGGCAGCCACCCTTGACAACTGCTGCAACACCTGTGGGAGCACCAGCCTTCTCCAGGCCTCCAACTTCACCTCCACTCGTGTCTGGGCCACAGGATGGGCAAAATGCCTTTTCGCCTCATATTCCCAATTCCCAGTCCTACAGTGCCCCACCCACCTCCCAGGTGGGAATCCCACCGTACCAGACCCCTCAGCAGAGCTGTCCCCCGCCCACCAGTGCTCCAGGACTTCCCCCAGGAACACCTCAGCAGGGATACAACCCCTACAGACACACCACCCTGAGCAGCAGAGCCAACCCCTACCTCACCCCGCCCCAGCTGCAGCAGAGCCACGCCCCTGCCCACACCCCATCCTCTGTGCCACCCGTGCAGATGTACCAGACACCTCCAGGGCCTCTGACACAGGTATGGCTGTCTGACACAGGTATGTCTGTCTGACACAGCTATGGCTGTCTGACACAGCTATGGCTGTCTGACACAGCTATGGCTGTCCTTCCCCATGGCCTGGGGCACAACAAAACCATTGAAGTCACTTACGTTCCTCATTCCTGAGGTCCTGCTACCAGAACAAAACTATTGAGGTCACTGTCCCCTTTGAACTCTATATTTTACCTTTTGAAGGTTTCTCTTCTCCACCAAAAAAACCCAGAAAAAGTCTTGAGGCATTTCTAACAGCAAAATTTTTTTCACTAGGAAAGAGAAACTAGAAAAGTTTCTTTTCTGAAACTGTGTTGTTTCAGGAAAACTTCCTGATTTTTGAAGTGAGTGTACTCTGAGGCTGTAGCCACATGAGTTTCTGGGGTCAGAAACAAAGCCAGGTTGTGATGTTCTGTAGCTCTTTTCTGTGGGTTTCTGAGTTTGCTGAGTTTCAGCTGTGCTGCTGCATTGTTTGTGCCTCTGCTGTAAATGGGGTCATTCAGCCCTTTGCAAGATACAGGCTAAAATCTCTTTTCAAGATGGTTTTGTTGGTGAAACAAGAATTTTTTGAAACTAAGTCACGTAAAATTGTCAGCAAATTCTTTGAAACACGTTGGTTGAGGATTTTGTGTGATATAAAGCATTAATCTCCATCCTTTTTTACGTGCACAAAAACATTATTCAAATAATGCAAAGGAGTTGGTAGTAACCTGACATGTTGGCCTTGAAAACAGCAAAAAATAGTTTTTATTTTGCCTGAGCTATTGCTATATCTCCCTTATCATAAATAAAGAATGTAAATACATAATGACAAAACAATGCAAAGACAGTAGAACCTAAACAATCTGGAGTTTTAGATTATATAATTTCAAAACTTCTGTTTGTTTGATTTATATATTGTACAATGTTTTCATGGTTGTTTTTTTCTTTCATTAAATGCATCATCAA